AAAAAAAAAAGAAAAAGAAAAGAAAAAGAAAAAAGAAAAAAAAGTTTGACACTAATCCATTAATTGGCTCTTTCGGCCTGTAGTCATTTAACTGGATGTAATTCCATTTAATTGCAGCATTATCTAGTCCACATTTATCAAACTTTTATGAGCTAGTACTAGAGTTTACAGTGACCACTGCTTTCCATTTAACTTTCTATTCTAGTATTTTTCTCTGGTTTGAAATAATAACTACTAAAAACCAGAACATTTTGATAAAATAACTGATTATTAAATTTTTAGTGTCCTGTTGGTTTATCTTATTAAAATTTGCCATCAAGAAAACTTACTTAATATATTCTATGTGAAAAGAGGTATAGTTTTTAAAAATATTTAAATTTATTTAAATTATTTACCATTTTGTTGGTATTTCAATTTTGGGAAGCTGACATTGCACATACTTTATTTAGTGGAAATTATTATTCAATTCCAGTGTTATTACCATCCTGAATAAGATATTTTGGTATGTTCACATCACCCTTTCCCAATATATTGGTGATCTTTTAGACAGAAGAAACACTCTAAAATAAAAATACTTACTAAAGAAGGAGACTGCTCTGAAAAACAGAAATGACAATTTTTAATGATAATGATACAAAATTAAAACAGCAGCATTGTAATATACAAGTTGTACTCTTGGTAATGATCAAAGTTAATGGTCTACCCTTACATATACAACTTCCCCTCAAAACATTAGAAGCACATTAAAAAACAAGAAAAATTAGATAAACAGAAAACAAAGATTACACCTATAAAGTATTTTAAAATCCTTACCTCCTCACAGCATCGCCTGCTTACAATAGCCCTAAAGTCAATTCTATCCCAGAGCTGGTCCCTTAACTTTAAGAAATTAGGGAATAATTTTCTCCAGTTTTTCCCTAAAGCCCATGGAAAAATTTCATACTTGGATTCTTCTTCATCTTCTTCAACTGTATTAGCCAGATACCTAATAAAGAAGACCCACAACCCAAAAAAGAAATGGATAAAGGACAGGAACAGGTAGTCCGCACACACACAAAAAGAAATACAAATGGCTTATAAACACACAAAAAATATTCAGCCTTACTTATATAAAAGAAATGCAGATCAAAAATAGTGTTACAGTGAATTTTACCTTGTTGAGTTCTGGGTATTTTTTATTCCTATACATCTTGAGCTTTGTTCTTGGATGCAGTTATCTGGAAATGGTCTGATCCTTTCAGGTGTTGCTTTTGATTTTTTGGGTGCAATTTATCTGAAGCAATGTTCAGTCTGGGCTAATTATTCCCTACTACTGAGGCAAGACCTTCCTGAGTACTCTTCTCAATACTCCATGAGTTATGAATTTTTTCAGTGTGCCTGATGGGAACAGGCACTATTTGCAGCCCTGTGTGAATGCTAGGCACTCTTCCCCCTAATCCTTTCTTATTGACTTGGCTAGTTTCCTTATAAACATATGAAACTCAGTATTGTACCAAATACCTGAGGGGGACCAGGCATGCATAGAAGCAGAAAAACATGACTCATAATAAGGAGAATAATCAATCAAAACCAACCCCAAACTGACACAAATGGTAGACATAACAGACAAGGACATTAAAAGAGTTATAATTATTCTATACGTTCAAAAAGTTAAATAGATATATTGAAAATGTATTTCTAGAGATGAAAACTATAATGTGTACAATGAAAAATACACTGGGATTAATGGCAGATTAAATACTGCAGAAGAAAAGCTTCGTGAATTGAAGACACAGCATGGAAACTATTCAAGATGAAACATACAGAGAAAAAAGAAACAAAAATCATGAACAGAGCATTATGAGACAATTTCGTGAAACCTAATAAAGATGAAATTGGAGTTTCTGAAAGGTGGTGGGTGGACAGAAAAAATTTGAAAGTATAAAAGCTGAAAAATTTTGAAATTTGATGAACACTATAAACCCACAAAGAAGCTCAATGAACCTCAAAGTTCAAGAAACATGAAGAAAATTACACCAAGGTGTACTATAATCAAATTGCTCAAAACCAATGATAAAGAGAAAATCTTGGCCAGGTGCAGTGGCTCATGCCGGTAATCCTAGCACTCTGGGAGGCCAAGGCTGCAGGATTGCTTGAGGCCAGGAGTTCAAGACCAGCCTGAGCAAGAGCAAGACCAATCTTTACAAAAAATAGAAAAATTAGCTGGGCATAGTGGTGCATGCCTGTAGTCCTAGCTACTTGGGAGGCCAAGGCAGAATTGCTTGAGCCCAGGAGTTTGAGGTTACAGTGAGCTATGATGACAC